AACTGAATTTAATTAAGCATCAAAAGAGACGCGAAGAGCGGCGTTTGAACTTGGCCAAAAGCGAGGCGATGGCAGCTCAGAGCGAAGCCACAGAAACGGATGCAGAGAGGAGTCTGCAACACGTGTCTTGCGATGGTCACAAGCGGGAAATTAGAGCAAAACCCGGCTGCAAATCCAATCTCCCAGGAGGGGGCAACCCCATAGTCCAAAATCAAAGCCCTGGGCCCGAGCCAAATCATCCAAACAGTTTTGTGTAACACTCTCTTGCGAGTATTTTTGAATCTTATATCTGGTATCTCTCATCGGTGAGATGCAGCAGCGGCAACCTTCAGCCAAGTGCGCCAAGTGTTATTTTCACAATTGGAGCGCTCTCAAATCGCTGGCTCGAAATCGAAAGTGACCCACGATTACCCACTCGACCGAGTCCCATTGATGGAGTTCATTCATGTGACTCCTTGAGGAACTTGTTTGTCCAGCTTGGAGTTCCTCGCAAGCCGGGTCAAGTGATTCCCCAGCCAACCAACCATAAGATAATCCATTTTATCACAGGATTTGTTTGGAAGCCACATATCGAACAATGAAACTAATGTTCAAAGGCCAGAAATTTAAAGCATGTTTTAAATGTTATTTTATCACCTTAATAATAATTTCAGAACTTTATTTCCTAAATAAATAAGATTGTGAATTTATGAAAGTATATTAAAAAGCTGCAAGTCATTGCTTATAATAGAATGCATTATATTAATATAAACACTCAAGCCATTCTTAACCCTAACAAATTCCTTCATAAAGCAAAAAGAAAAACACAAGTCATCAGACCAAAAGAAACATAACAACGAAGGGCCTTTCAAGGCCAGTACATAATTTTCCCCAACTGTCAACCGTCGACGGCGAACACTTTCAACACCTACGACAACAATTACGAAACAATCGTAACAAAATCAAAATCAATTTTCAAATTAAAGCCAAACATTAACCGGCAAAACGAAATCGAAACAATAAGTAATAAAACAAAACAGCAGCTACCCAAATATAGTGAATAGCGAGCGGCGTTTAATTGGATTTGGTGCACACAGCGAGGGATTGAAAGCAAATAGACCCTCAGCAACCGAAGTCGGCTGAATCGAGACACTTGTCCACTTGCTGTCCACACACAGAAATCATTAATCGTAATTGCAGCCGACGCATCTCGACGCAGAAAGGTGGAGAAATGTGGAGTGGTTGTACGGACACATGTATCTTGGAGCCACAAGGCGGCACAAGAAGCTGGGGGGCGTACGTAATGGCAACAAGGTTTTTGGGGCTTTACGTCACCGATCGAATCGATTGGAAATTGGTGCACTTGGCCACCGATGAAGAAGCCCAACGAGTCAGGCAATGACAGCGGAAAGAAGGGTCTCGACTCTGCTAAACAAAAAAAAAAACAGGGATGCACAGACACTTGCAACATACACAACAAAAATGATACAAAAAAAAGGAACCTGTATAAAACAAATATTTATAAGCTATGCATTCAAATATTGCAAAAACAGTAAATTTCTCTGCTGTGAATAAAGTTGGTAAAGCCACAATGAAATTTCACATACGGGTAAGGTACAACAAAAACCTTTGAAAATGTTTAATTAAAGTCTGTTAAGTTTTATAAAGCTTCAAATTATAATTATACTAGTAACTATTTCCTTTAATATTAATAAGAGCTATATAAATTCAACTCCCCTATATGCAATGTATATATTTCCATCCCTGACAAAGAGAAAGAGGAAAAGAAAGACCAAAAGGAGCTGCCGCATATTGTGTCATCGACGCATCGAAATTCGTGAAAACCAGGTCAACAGTGCAGTAGCACATCCATCCACGAGCTATTGATTTGCGCCGATCAGGAGATGCCTGCCCTTCTCCTCTTGGCATTGGCTTTGTCTACTTTTCGGTGCCCTTCGTCCGGCTCCATTGACATTGCCGCGAAGTTCGGTCAACTGTTTGGGGGGAATTTCCATTGGAGCAGCTTAAAATAGACGGAGCGGCCGGGGATGCGCCACTTGACTTGCCACTTGTTGCACTCAAGTGCCACGAACAGCAAAAGCCATAGAAGAAGCACAACGGCCAACACGAAGGGGCAGAAGCTTTGGGGCTTTGTCATTGAGATGTGAACCCACAAGTCGATTAGTTGGCCAATGGCAGTGGAGAGGCGCATTCCAACGCCGAAGAATGCTTAGGTCATATGGCTTTTAACATGAACTAAAAGAAGCTGCGAGCCTTGTGGTTTAAGTGGGTATAATGATACGTATACCATAAGATATCTGGCTTACTTAAAATTTATATTATTTATAAACAAATTTTTTGTTACTTAAAACTTTAAAAAACTAGATCGTAGTGCCTTAATATAATTTAAGGCATTCCCCCGTAGGTATTTACATTAAATATAATTCATTTATTTGCTACTTTTAAAAAATGTTCAAGTTGTTTGATTTAAATCGATTAACACCAAATTAAATTCACAAAAAAATAAAAATAAAAGCCTTTTTCTCCCTCCAGACCTCAAATTAACATAAGCTCATATAATTTGCCACCACATAAAATGATTTACTCAGTTCCCAGAAATGCCTGTCTACAAAATTAAATAATTTTATTACACTCCAAAGCAAGTGTATTTTTACTTTTACCACAAACATCGAAACCAAAAAGGCGAAAAAAAACATGCAAATCATGCTCCAAAAAATGTATAAAAAAAGATCGCGGGTATATGTTATGTATTTAACTGGGGTTTCAGCCCACACTTCGAAAATTATGACAAATGGCCAATGAATGTGGTCCTATTTCCCCCCAATTCCCCTTGCTATAAATGCGTTGACAAATCGTTTAACTAAGACGACTTAATAGCATGCCCCGGAGGAACATAGTGATGATGATTACAGCGATCGGCGTCGTCGATTATATCGTTAATTAGAGACGACAGACAACCAGAGCGCTTTTGCACCGCTTGCCATTTTGCCCATCAAGGTCATTCGATTTTAGCACAATTATCGAGGCCCTTATTCCAGCCCATCGTGTATTTTATGTAACTCACTTACTACCTGCGGGAAGTAATTAAAACTGGAGCGGGCCAGGTATTTTTTATTATTTACGTGGGTGTTTGGTTCGTTGCCATAGCCGTGTTCCCAAGGCAATGTTAATGAGGCTAATAGCAGCCTCGGACGAAAAAAAGGAAACAAATTGGATTTTGGGATGAGTTTAAGATTACTCAGTGTGTATATATAGAATTAAGTGCTGTGAATTAATCCTTAAAAGGAGCTGGTAAAATACAGTTTAATTACTACTTTTACCAAGAGTTTTTATTGCATCGAAAGTTCCTACAAGGTTTTCGTTCTTAGAAATCTTGATAGTTTCCAAAAAGCGAAAACAGTACGTAGGATATTTATAGTTTACACTAATTTATATATTTTACTTAATAAAGTTTACGTTGCACAATTTTTAGAACTTACAAAAATAAAGCTAGGACTACAAAACTTTTTAAAAATTCACAATTAAATAAGAGTATTGCTAGGATGCTCTCTCTTTATTCAAGTGAATTTTTCCCGCCCTTCAGCGGCCTAACCGAATTGAAGCCCACTTTGCCATGGAACAATTGTTTTCAACATGTGGCCAAATATTGACATTGAATCATAATGTCCATTGAGACGCACAGCAATCAAAGGCCTATATATAAAGCCGCACACACGCTTATTGCCGGCCAAAATTATAAGGTAATGAACAAAGGCAAGTGGCAAATATTTTGTCAATGATAGTGGTCAAATGACTCGGTGGCAATGTGGGGTAAAATGTTTTCTTCGTGGATTTGCAACATCTGACAGCTGTCAGACAAATCAAATGCTTTTCCGCCGAGTATCTAACAGGTACGCGAAAGTATCTGCGTATCTGCGCATCTGCCGGTGCGTTTGGTTGGTTTCGGTGAACTAAGTGCCCGGCTAAATGCTGTGAGCCGCAATTTGTATCTGGCGCTTTGTTTATTTACGCTGTCATCTCCTTTTGTTTGGAACTAGTTTGCCCAGCCCCCAGCCTCAATTCCAATTTGTTAGCCATTTGCAGTCAATCGCATTGTGACCACTAACAAATTTGCTTGTCAGGCCGCGTTGGTCTTTCCATTTGCCTTTTCATTTTCGCTCTTTAGTGGGCCGTCATCTCTGTTTGCTGCCCAACTGGCAATTAAAAACGTATTTACCAGCACTTTGCCATTGTGGAGCATTTATCGCGCGACTTGCACTTGACCAATTCCGATTTTGAAGAGGTTAAAGCCAGTCGAAGGACTGGCCCCTAAATGGCCGTTACTAAATGCGGTGTCGTATTTAAGCCCACTTGTCGTATACTCGATGTGCGATCATAGTCGCCCGCTGGCGCCATCTACATGTCATCTGACTTGATAGCTTATCACTACGCCTTGAAAAAGTTTAAACGATTAAAGAAAAAGTCAGACGAGAAATAAAGCTTCGCAGAAGCCAAACAATGTTAAAAGCAAACAAAGAGCACATGGAGTAGGCAACTGAAGTCTTGGGTTTAAAATTAACAATACCCTCGTTATAGGAAAATCAATTGATCGTAAGATATTTAGTGGGGGTCTTAAGATGCGTTTCACCAAGCTTAGAAACTTTGAAAATTAACTTGGTACTGTCTAGATAAGTAAACTAAATAAATCTACTTTATTTCAAAAGGTTTTTCCTATTACAAAATGTATGTAAGTCACAAGTTAAGCCTAATTTATAACATGACTTTAAAGTGTATTATAAAGAAGAGACTTCTTCATTGGATTAATGTTTTAGTTTTTAAGACTTATTTTTTATTTTTGTAAGTTTATTTATTTAAAATCTGTTTGGATTTAATTAAGAAAAATCGTAAAATACCTATTTGCTTCGAAGCATTCAGCAATGGCATATACCCAATTAAACGGCTCTGTTTAGGGTATGTTAAAAATTAAAAGAGACATCCTAAAGACAAAAGCATTCGGCTTACGACTGCAGCCAAGTTGAGTAAGCATTTTAGTTGCTCACGAGAAGATCGCCGGTGAGGTATCCGAAAAGCAGCCCACAATCTCGTAAACCACGTATACGATATATCTCAGGGCAATGCAAACCCCAAACAACAACGACAGTCAGGTAAGGAAAGTGAGGCTTATCTGGCCGAGATTACAAACAGTATCTCATATATTCGGCAACTCGTTAGCTTATTCTGGTGCAGCAGAATTTGCGAACACTGTCTCATGAACTAGTTAGGAGCCATGCTGATCATGTAGAGCAACTGGATCTAAGCCATAACTGCTTGAAGGATTTGTCCTGGCTGGCGGAGTTCGAGCAGCTACGTCACTTGGTCCTAGATAGCAATAGAATGCATGAAGCTCATCTAAGAACGTTGACACGCCCTCTGCCCCAATTAGAAGTACTTATGCTCAACAAAAACGAGGTATTATTTACCAAATATTATAATTATTTCTCAAGACAATCTTATCAAATAAATATACTCAATTCCAGTTCAGCGACCTGCCAACGACAATGCGTCTGATCAGAAGGTTTTTTCCCAACCTGCAATATTTGAGCTTCCATGGCAATCCAATCTGCCCAGATGGTCTGGAACTACAGCCCTTCTCCAGTTACCTAAGCTACGACTATGCATACTACAGGTGGGTCTGCTCAAATATTGATTCATCTAAACTTAGCATTCGATCTGTTTTAGCAATTACATTGCACAGTCGCTCAGCAAGCTGAAATTCCTGGATCATGGACTGGTTCAACGCACCTACCAGTACGAAAGTTTCCCGCTTAAAAGTTATGCTGGAAAGCAACTGATACAAACAACTAGTTTCTGAGGTGGCGACCTGATAAAAAAGAAAATTATTTAAATATATATATTAGAAATAAGATACGAAAGTCATGTCGTTTACATGAAATATTAAAAGTACATATATTTTCAAGTTTGCTTTACATAATATTTCAAATTAACTTTGCGGGGTTCCATATTCAAGCAGTTTTGAAAAGGCTAATCCCTTAGATATTTTTAAATAGCTGATGATAAATTTAATTTATTTTTTAAAAGTTTTCCCAACCCCTTCCATTTTTTTGGTTGTCGATGTATTTTTGTTTGCTTCTTAAAGCTTTAAAAAATTAGAAAAGAACATACTGGTTGTCATTAATTGTTGCGATTTAATCTTAAAAGGCTTTTAGAAAGTTTTTAGCGATAACAAAAACTCACCCTGTTCTAGACCAAAGCTAATTCACAAACCGTAAAAAAAAAGCTTTCAAACATTTGTACGTAAGCAAAACAGCAACCGCTTTAAAAAGCTTTATTTTCTCAATTTACGAACCAGTGCTCAAAATAAATTTTATGATAAAGCAATAATCAAAAGGATATCCAAATGTACCATATGCTTTAGGCCTGAATAACTGTAAAATGCGCTACAATGATTAATGATTTTTTTAAACATTATTACTAGCTAAACTCACGCTAGCTAAACCTATTTTAAATTTAGAATAACAAAAATACTGTTTTTAAGCTTAATTGTTAACCTAACACATAGACGATTTCTTTAAATTGTAGGGTGCATATAAAATGTTTATTTGTCTGCCGGCCGGCATAAACCCAAGATAATTCAGAGGACCGACCACAAGCAAAGCAAAAAAGGTGATGAACGGCAATGCAAAAACAAATCGCTGATAGCCAGTTATCGGACGCTATATAAAGCGGCATCTGGCAGCAATTCAGTTTCAGTTTGGCGACGACTCTCAGACAGCCGGTCTCTATTCCAGTTCTCAGTAAAAAATATATATAACATATTGCTCAATATGGCCGATCCCAACGCCAAACCCAAGTATACAAAAGTGAGTATAAATATTGAGTTGCCAGCTGCATATCAAATAATAAAAAGCAGATAAGTTGCATTAAATATCGCCATACAACACCTTTAGTAGCATATGTACTATAGAAGAGATGATAGCGATTTTCCAATTAAAATTAAGTCCACTTTAAACTAGTTTCTGTCGCCATTTACAAATATTCGCGAATTTGTTTCTGGTTTTTCTGCTGGCCTCCTTATATGTACGTATGCATATACATACATACAAATATGTTGTTTTGGAAAAAAAACAGTTTTTTGTTTATTCTTAGATACAGGGTGTTCATGTTGTTATCAGCAGATGTTGGTCACGAAAAAAAAAACAGATCCAGCACTCGTAAAGTAAAGCCATAATAATTATGAGGTCTTCTGAGCTGATAAGGTAAACCACTATAGGGCTCCAACATGAACTTGCCATTTTTTAGATACGGATGAGACTTTGAGACTTATAGTTCGATGAGATTTTTAAATGGTAAATTGGAGTTAAATAAAAAGGGTAAAAAAAAGTTTCTTTAAATTAAATTACTTAAGGTTCATCACTTAAAATAAAAGAATACAAATAAACCTCACTAAGTTTACCATAATCGGGACAGCTCAATTCAATTTAACTGCCTCTACTTCTCGTAGTTTCCAATTGACTACTTATCTTGTCTACTTTATCTAACGAGTTACGAACGTAAAGTTCTTATCACCCAATGACCTATTATTTTGAATGACATCCAATAGCCTCAAACGACTTTAGTTTGTTGTCAAATGTTTTGTTTAGTTCATAAAAACTTAAAATCGTGACTAGAATCACATTTTACATTGTTTACATTGTCGCGTGCCGCCGGCGAATTGAAATGGCCCAATCGGAGGACTGATAACTTACAAACTGGGCTAATAATAATGCACAAATTGCACAAATTACTGGCACATCAGCTAGTCAGATTTGATCATAGTTTTGCCCACTGCGAACCCAATTATTGCCAGGTGCTGGAGATTCTGTGCTTCAATTTACTGCCGTTTTAGTCACAATAATCTTCTTTTATTATTTATAGCTCTTCATCAACAATGAGTTCGTTGATTCGGTGTCGGGCAAGACCTTTGCCACTTTCAATCCGGCCACAAATAAGGAGATTATTAAAGTGTCCGAGGGAGATAAGGTGAGTGCAGTATACGGAGATGGGTTTTGAAGGCCTCGAGGTCTAATTTATGGAAACATGTTCTTAAGTTGAGTGAAAATATTTAAAATAAATGCTTTTCAAATGAACTTGTTATATTTAGGCTGACATAGATCTGGCTGTGGTTGCGGCCAAGAAGGCCTTCCATCGGGACTCGGAATGGCGCAAAATGAGTCCCTTGCAGCGCACCACTCTGATGAACAAGTAAGCTCTGCCCTATATCTTTCTCGGAAAAAAAGTACAACATTAATCCCCTGCAGACTCTGTGCTCTGATGGATCGGGACAAGGCATTCCTGGCCAGTTTGGAGACGCAGGACAATGGCAAGCCCTACGCCGAGGCCCTTTTTGATGTCACCTACTCGATGCTGACGCTGCAGTACTATGCCGGCTGGACCGACAAGTTCTTTGGCGACACCATTCCCGCCGGAGGCTTTACATCGATGACGCGCAAGGAACCGGTGGGCGTGGTGGGCCAGATCATCCCCTGGAACTACCCCCTGCTGATGCTGGCCTGGAAATGGGGACCTGCTCTGGCTGTCGGCTGCACCATCATCATGAAGCCCGCGGAGCAGACTCCCCTCACTGCCCTCCACATGGCTGCTTTGGCCAAAGAGGCCGGTTTCCCAGCCGGAGTGATCAACGTGGTCAACGGGTTCGGACCCACTGCAGGAGCTGCCATCAGTGAGCACCCCGACATTGCCAAGGTGGCTTTCACCGGCTCCGTGGAAATTGGTCGCATTGTGATGCAGGCTGCGGCCAGGACGAACTTGAAGAGGGTATCCCTTGAGCTGGGCGGCAAGAGTCCTGTGGTGGTCTTCGATGATGCGGATGGTAGGTGGCTTTTCCTCTTGAAATTTTCTCTAAAAATTAAATTCCTGATTTCTCCAATTAGTTGACTTTGCGGTGGAAACCACCCATGAGGCTCTGTTCTCCAATCACGGCCAGAGCTGCTGTGCCGGCAGTCGCACCTACGTGCACGAGAAGATCTACGATGAGTTCGTGGCCAAGGCGGCTGCCAAGGCCAAGGCCCGCAAGGTGGGTAATCCCTTCGAGGAGAATGTGCAGCAGGGTCCTCAGATCGACGATGAGATGCTGACCAAGGTTCTGGGCTACATTGAGAGTGGCCAGAAGGAGGGCGCCAAGCTGCAGGCTGGTGGCAAGAGGATCGGCAACGTCGGTTTCTTCGTGGAGCCCACTGTCTTCTCGGATGTCAAGGATAATATGCGAATTGCCCAGGAGGAGGTAGTTAATGTTTAAGTAAATGAAATCCCTCTCTAAAATACTTCTTTACCATCCGAAGATCTTTGGTCCCGTGCAGTCCATCTTTAAGTTCAGCTCTCTGGACGAGATGATCGATCGGGCCAACAATGTGCAATATGGCCTGGCCGCTGGCGTTATTACCAACGATATCAACAAGGCCCTGAAGTTCGCCAACAACGTGGATGCCGGCTCCGTGTGGATCAACTGCTATGATGCCGTGCTGCCCTCCACTCCCTTCGGTGGCTACAAGCACTCCGGAATTGGTAGGGAGCTGGGAAAAGATGGACTCGAAAATTACCTGGAGACCAAGACCATCACCATGAAGCTGCTTTAAGCTGGAACTTGAAGAGTTTCCCACTTCGTATACACAACACTTGTATTTTATTCGCACTTGTTTTCGATTTTGTCCTTGGTTAGACTATTGCATTTTAAATAAAACTATTGGATTATACTTATCAGAGTTTATGTTATAGTCGAAGGAATCGACTGAAAAATGTCGCTTAACTCGCCAGGCGGGATCATATCTTTTTTAATTTTGCAAGCCTAAGAGTATGCAAATGTTTTAGTTATAAATTCAATTCGGACCACTCTTCAATTTAAAGTAAGTAATTATTAGACCATTGGTTAAGCCACATTTGGACATAAGTTATCGAGGCACAAGTTCACTAAGCTAGGACAGTGAAAAATATCAGTTAAATATCGATTCATCAAGTACTCCAAACTAGGGAGAACGCTAGAGCTTAGACTAAAATTCGATTAGTTAAGGTAATATTTCTTATGCTCTAAACACTAACACATCGTATAAAAATAAACCTGAGATGGCTGATCCATTGGTCAGCCGTGGGATTAGGCCAAGTTCGAAGGCGGAATCTGGGACTGACTCTGCACCTCCAGAAGTGGCACTGCCAGATCGCTGAGCCGCGACCTGGCACTCTGAAAATCGTCTTCCGACCTGGGTCGCACCTGCGTCTGGTGCTGCGGACTGCCCTGCTGCACTACTTCCCTGTAAACTGGCTGAATTTGGGACTGGGGAAGTCCAAGCCGTCCACTATCGAACATCTCATCGATGTCCACCAGCTGGAAGTCAACGGCGAAGACAAATCGCAGCACCATGACCAGCAGAGCCACGATCCACAGCACCATTCCGATCACGTAGCTGCAGCGGAAGAGCTCCAGATAAGTATCGTGGGACACCTTGTGGTCGTGGACGATGGGACGCAGAAGGGCAATGGCATCGCCACAACTGATGGCCGACGGATCTGTGAGGTTCTCTCTCAACTGGCCACACAGTCGCTTCAGATGACCATTGGTGAGGATGGTGTAGATCACGCTGCCCAGACTCATCACCGAAAATATGATTATGGAGGGCACCACAATGCGCCACGGTTTTGGCAGTACACTGAAAATTTAAGACATTAATTAAACGTTAAGTAACTCTTTAATTATTTTCTTACGAATTCTTTTTGCTGCCGGTCTGAAAAATCAAACACATAGCCGTCCAAATGATGGCCACTATCTCCGATATGAGAGGAAATGAATAGACAAACTGAGCACCTATGCCACGATTCCAAAAAGTGGCATGAGCATCGACGGACACTAAAGTAATAAGGCATTGTTTTTAAAATGAAAAATATTGGAGTTAAATTTTACTCTTACTAGTGCTCAAAAACTGACGATCTGCATCGGCATTGAATTTTATTTTCGGTGGAGGAGCCGTCGTGGTCGTGACTTTCTCCTCCTTCTTTTCAGCGATTAGACGCTCCAATTTAGGTCTGTTCTCAATAGAATCATAGATATGCGATATCTTAAAGATTGGCTTTGTGGTTTCTGGAAAGAAAGTTGAATTTTAAAACGAAATAGTATCATATCTTCAAGATATCTTACGGCTCTCGCTGTGCAGCGATTCGGCAGTTACGTCTTGCACATCCTGAACGGAATACTTTTGGCCATAAGCATACTGAGTAGCTGCCTTAAAATCCCGCCGAAGGATCTGCTTACTGTGCTCATCCATTTGCTCCAGGTTGCGCTCTTTGAAGATGAGTTTGGCACTGACAATTCCCTCGTACAGATCCCCCGATATCATGTGCAGACAAATGCTCCATAGAATGGAGAATATTGCTATCAAGACCATCAGACATATTACCATGTCTAAATTAGGAAAAAGTTTTTAACCAAAAGTTATTAAATTTCAAACTATAGTATTACTTATAATAAGAACTTTTACCAAGTATATTTGTTGTGAAAAACTAAATACACTAAAATAAGACTTAAACAACTTTAATAGCTAACTTAATGAGGTATACCACCACGAAATCGGATTTGCCCGATAGGTTATGGGCCAAAAAGTGCAGTAAGGGATTTATTAACAAACTTGCCATTGGGCAAGCTGATACCACAAAATTTAAACAATTTTAACAAAATGCAGAATCGATTCTAATCTTCAACAATGAAATTATTAAATGACCTCTAGCATAATTTAGCATTACAAACATGTTGCTCTATCAAACGGGCCGCTGGCGAATTTGAATTTAAAGTTAATAGCTGACGAATGGACATAGCTTTATATAGAGAATCAACTGTTTATGGATCTGCCAGAAGCCATAGATCAAGTAAACGCACTGTTACGAACAATGGATTACGACATTCTGAGAATGGAAAACACTAGCGCTTGAAGGTTAGGCATTCGATAATTTATGACTCTCTAGTTATGTTCGGGTGAGGTTTTGCTAAGTTTGTTTATTTTGTGTAAGAAACAGCTAACTGTGAGTTTTTATATCATATGAATGATATCATGCCAAATGTTATAGAGCTCGGTAAACGAGTCGGGGCGAAACATTTTCAGATGACGTCGATACCGTGACTGCCTCCCAATAAAATTCATTTCAATTGATGCAAATATTCCCTCATATTGTTCGAAATAAAGAGAAAACAAACCGCTGGCAGAGTCAACAAACAGATTCGCGGATAAATATACGACTATGCTCTGTGTGCATAATAAAAGTCTCATAGCGGAACATGTCAAAACGGGTGAATATGTTACATTACCATTCCATTTTATGGTTCATAATGGACATCTGAATTTTACAAGTTCCTATATCTATAGAGTGAGAGAATAGATCACGAGCTGGTGCCGCAGATTTCATGCCCCAAGTGCTTTGAACGCATTTAGCGGAATGTTTTTCTGCTTTTTGGCCGGCCACGGACTCATTTATATATGTCCGAAGCGATTTACTGCGCGTTGCATGATCCGCCGCAGAGTGGCACATTTGGAATGACATCATTTCCATCATGTCATGCCCCTCTCATCTCCGGAACTTGGGGCGGGTAAGTAATATTCAGCAGAGCTGTTCACTGGGAAGCGAGAAGTTGGCAGTCGTTAGCTCACCTACAAACCGCTTTTGGCCAGGTTTCGTAGCTGAATACGGCCCAAAAGAGGCGACGTTTCGTGAAGGAAACTATAAATAAATATTACTAATAGGCTTTTAGATAGATAAATGTAAACTACAGCAACCCTGAACTACAAAACATTATAGTTTTCTATTCCCTAACATGTAGTTCATTAGGGTGGGTATATATTTAATTATTTTGGTAATGTTATTTTACCGAAGTTTTTTTTCTATTCCTCTTTTAGGAAGTTTACATTTTACACAGTTAATACTTTTTGCAATTGTTTAAAATAATTAAGTGCTTGTTTACAACTGCGACGGCTCCCGGAAGTTTGGCACTTTGGCACTTTGGCTAATTTGTTAATGCCAATAACAGGAACCACATGGCGAATACGTACTATGAACTGCGCCCACTCAAACAAACTTTCCTCCACTTATCGACAGATGAGAGCTGCAGCAAATGGAATACATTCATATATAGCAATAAGATCGGTATACCCAGCAAGTCAAGTGTGAAAATGTTTATAAGCAAAAGCAACTAAGTTTATATTAGCACATTGGCCTAAAGGCTTTAGGCCAGTTTAGCACTTTTAATGAGTCGATTGACGCTATAAAAATAGTTATAAATTTGGCACATTAAGCTGGCAGCTTAATATAGAGACAGACCCATTTTTTTTAAGTCCGCTTACATTACAGTAAACTAAAATTCACTTTGATTAATATAAAAAAATTAAGAGACATTTGAGCAGAAAATGGTAAGCTAGACAATGAAAAATGTTGGCCCCACTGTCAAGCATATATGTATAACCATTTGTTGGGTTGGTCTCTGCTGTTTTCAAAACATTCAAACTCATATACGGTTTATTGATGCTGAAAGACGCGCCCCCAAAGAGCAACTTCCATGACTGATGGACAAAACCGTGAAATGGATTTAATTGACTTGAACATTCGCTGTCAATAGCATCAGACAGTTCACCTCAAATTTAACCAATTGGCTTTCACCATTCCAAATGTTTCCCTGAAATTTGCTTTGGGTTTTATTTTAGATTTGAGTTCTACGTCTTCGGCCCTGTGAAGGTCGCAACAAAAATATATTTAAAGTATCAAGGACTGCCCTTAGTAATATCTTAAAAAAATAAATATATACATAATGGCTTATTTGTAAATCAACGTACGATTTAGGTTGCGTATATCGCTGGTGGTTAGCTTGCCCTGTTTGTATTTTTTAATCAATTCCATTTTAGCATGTTTTTTCCATAAACTCCGTAGATTATAATGCTTCCGTTCCTTTTTCAGACAAATTTATCACTTTGAGAACATATTTTGTAAACATCCATTAGCTTTTTATCCAAAAAATGGTGTATAACAGTTTTAATTACACATTTATTTAGTTTATGCGAATTTTATGAACCTTACTGAGAATATTTCACGTGGCTAGCTGATGGAAACACAAAAATCAGGAAAATGTATTAGCAAAATAATAAGCATTTGACACCGAAAAAAAATGTATGTTCCTGTTCATATATAGAATTGTTTGTAGCTATTTCTGTTCATATTTCTCTATCAGGTCAATTTTCGTTTGTCGTTTATGTCAATTTCAAATCTTTATAAATAAAACTTTAATATTTTTGTCTCTGGAACTTTTTTACTGCAATCTTTTCACAATTAGCGCTTATTGTAAGCAGATTAATTTGCTCGCTTACACAGCAGATGTTTGTTGATTGTTCTACTCCGTATTTATTTAGTTTTTGTGATTTTTATAGACCATCAAAGAAATATTTCACGTTGTACGAAGTGTAGAAATTTATTATCAAAATAATATACAATTGCGCTCATAAATATGGCTGCAGCATTTGGGCAAACTTAATGAAGCGGGGAGACTTTTTGATTTTCGCCTCGATTCTGTTCAGTTGAGCGATCAGAATAATTGAGATTAATTGATTTGAAATTACCGAATGTCTGTGGGTGTATGCATACATACATGGAAGGTAGATTAAATTTAGCAATTGTATTTTGAACACTTTGGATATCACTTTACTTTGAGCGAACACATCAGTTGTTCACGGTTTCAATTTCCATTTCTATTTTCCTGTCACATTACGTATACGTTACGTACCGAAATTAACACCTTTCCGAGTTCGTTCTCGAATATCTATTATAATTAACCCAGTGGCTTAAAGTATGTCAAAGTGTGTGCTTCGGTTTTGGGAAAAGTGATATTCGTCTGAATAGACGAGTTCAAGGTCAGTGGAAAGGGGCAGGCAACCTTTTCGATTTGACATTTATGTTTTGTTATTTCGACAGTTTCGAATCACTAATTTGCATAAAAAGCGATTTCTCTGCTAATTGCCGAGCCCGAAATTAAACCACACGACGTTCGGGCACGCATCCAAAAGATAAACAACCGAATGGGTACCAAATTCTGCGTACTACTCGTTCGTAAACCGTCCGACGTTTGTGACTGTTGTTCAGACACTGAGGCGACTATATGCCAGGCCATAATTCTCCAGCCGATTCCGTCTTTCTCTCGCTCTCTTTCTCTCTATATAGAGAGCTATAGCTCTGGCCGACTTCATTTTATTTATTTTTTATGCGGCTCTCAACAGCGGGCTTCTTCGGTTTTTGTTTTGATTTCGAAAATTTGCAACTGGTTGCTTAAGTATGTTCTTGTTTGTGCCTTTGTTTTGATTTGGTTCTTTCGTGTTGTTGACTATTTTTTTTTGTTTTGTTCACAACCATTTTTGATAGTGGGCGACAGAGGGGCAGGGAGACGACAGCGTGCGTGGGATGGGAAATCATTGTTTTATTTATACTTTTGTTTGGGACTCGGACTGTGGTCTTTGAAAACATATTTAACACGTAGTTAGCACGGATTTAAAGTGGGATAACTATAAAGTGGGTACTACATTGTGACAGGAATAAAAGCTTTTTTGAGCTAATGTTAAAATAAGAAATATAAATAATATATAAACTTAATTTCCATTTAATCAAATATTTTAGCATATTGTTTTTTATTAATTAAATAAATTTAATTCAATTTAAGTCCTAAAAAATTGATATAAAACCATACCAACAAATAACTTAATGTGTTATTTACTTTTGTTAAAATCTAAAGGTATCAAAATCCCCAAATCTCTCAATAAATTCTAAATTTGGTTATTGTTTATTTATTCCCTTCCAAAAACACACAAAAATCTATTCAATTTATCGTATATCTTCTATTATTGTGTATCCTCAATAAGTTCTGATATTCAAAGACCGGCAGAAATCCTGTTCAATTTCCATAACCATTGTTTCGGTTTTGGGCAGTTGCCATGGCCGCAATTATCGGCGATGACCTTGAAAGAACACGCCGCTTTTTCACGTCCAAGGTGAACTAATTAGCGGCCAGAAGTCCTTCGAAGGACTTGTCGATGTGTGGTTTCAAATCGCGTGCCTGCCAGGCATCTAGTTTTTTTTTATTCTCAAGCGGAACGTAAAACTCCATCTAACTATAACGCTCGTCACTTGGGAGCTATAATTGTCTCGGGGGTGTTATTGAAAAGTATTTGTCATGTAGAAATTTAAATTTGATATTAATGGACTTGAGTACCAAAAATTTAGTGCAATCTAAAACACAACGTAGTCACAGAATAACTTCTTTATAATTATAGCTTATTTACTTAAGCCAACCTATTTTGATTATAACACGTGACGTTAAAAAAGGCTTTGACCTCCCAAGAAACTTATTTAAAGACTTTGAGTTTTATTGAAAAACACTATTAACTATTGCCGCTGGCTTGTATGCCTTTGGCTGGGGATAAACATTTTTCGCCCCAAAGAATTCCGTCGAATCCATTTCCACATTTCCACACATGTCATAATAAGGTCTCCGCCACCTATAGATAAACAAGCAAATCATTCCTAGCTCCAATGTTGAAAATGGCGATGACGTCGCCCTCTTATGCAAATCCCCAGTAGATAATGCGACACATGAATTCATTACAGTGTTACACACGAGGTCCAGGTGAGTTATGATGGGTAATCGATCATTTTCAAGAAACACTTTTGTTAGGCAATTAAAAAAAATATAAATGAATAAGTAATATATATTCTATGCTCTGATATTGGGAAACCTATCAAACTAGAGTTGATTTTTAAAGATTACTTATTTCATAATAAATTTATGAAGTATAAATCTGTTTTTTTTTTTAAGCAATAAACGTTTATGATTCTAACTCAGGGGTTTGAAAAGTGATACACAGGGCGTATACGCATTTTAAGATAAAGCCACTTACACTCGCAGCGCACCACTTCGCTCCTGGCTTCCCGTGTTAGCATCTGCAGGCTGTCGCCAATCCGCCGTATCCGCTGCGGCCGACTCCCCATCTCTGATCCACGGCACTTGGCCACCGCATCTAATTACGTCTTTTGTTTACAACAGACAAACAATTAGCAAAATTGCTAAACAGAAACTTAGCACTTGAGTGCGCATTTTTTGGCTTTTCTAGCTCAGTTTGGGACTTGGCAATAGTTGTGGTGATTGACCCGAAAGAAAAGCTACGACTGGAGACGTTCATTCGACACGACCGCTCGACGCGAACTGTGCGCAAGCCAAGCGGCTAAGGCCATCAGGGGTATTTGCTGCTGCTCCGGGGAAAATTCAAATTGTATGGCGTCACTTGATAGTGGTGGTTACCGAACTATACAAACAGCATAGAGCGTTCTTAGATCCCTGGCATTGGTGCTTACGTACAAACGTCTTTGGGGAATATAGAATACGATAAAAAACATTGTTACATTGGAGCTACAAAAATATACAAATTGGTTTAAGTTTTTTCTTTACACCCCATCTAAAATAGCTAGAACACAAATATATTTTTTACAATTCAACGTGAATTTCCATGTCTTAGACATTTAAAAAAAAAAAAAAATATTAAAATAGAAAAAAATATTTTTTATTTAAAAATGTAACTGGTTATAAAATGTACCCAGTTAAATTGGGACTATTGGCTTTTGTACCTAGTGCAAATCTAAAGACATCTACCATCACTGATCCCTGGCAGCCAGACGACCTGTCTATTCATAGCAGGGGGTGGGCGGGGGTAGAATCACCCCTAAAAAAAGGAAACCACCAAAAACAGGAGTCAAGGCAATGACCTCTCACAGCCGGGCCCATAAGTCTGGGCCACCTGGGACACTGGGAATGAGTGTCAGTAGAGCGGTTGCGTGCCCAGTTAATTAGTATAAAATGTTAACAACATCTGGCCAACGGGAAAGAGGATGTTCGTTTACAGCAGGATCCCAACTCTTTGAAATTCACGATATTTATTATACGAAAAATACTCGATTGTTTCTCAAATAAATTAGTAAATTAATATACATATTAGATCTTAGATGTAAATGTACGTTGTATATATTCCGTTACTTGGTGTTAGTTACAAATTTCACATAGCTTTAATTTGCTTTTCGGTTTATTTGTTTTGTTTTCTTTTTTTTATACAAAAATGTTTACTCGCTTAAGGTTAATTGTGTTAATTAGACTACAGATTTCATAAAACATTTGTGCAACAAAAAGGCATTGCAATTAACTTTTAGTTGCCCGTTTTACATAAATACAAAATTAACATATCTTGGTGTAAATATATATAAATATAAATCTATCAATTTGATCAATTCGATGAAACAATTCGCAGTGAAATACAAATGAAGAACGTCCCTATACTGGTTAATAAATCATCTTGTAACAATTTCATTTCTACACACAAAAAAAAGGCGATTGTTTGAACAATTTTAGTTACTTTGATGTTTTGTTTTCCTTTCTAAGACTCACACTCCAAGTGACGATTGCCATCGACAGTTGATAGGGGATTGAAAAGTGGAGAACACTTAAAACTAGGCTACCTATACATATAGCTCGATTACATAATACTAGTAGTTGACGTTTGCTTTAAATGGGCAGAGTTTCTATGTTCGAATTTTGATTATTCTTGCATTTTGTGCGTGACGCTTAAAACGATTTTCGAATTCTTTGAATTTGCATCTCGTTGCCAAGCGTAAAATTTGACATAAATATATAGAAATAATAAAAATAATATTGAATAACAGATAAAAGCGCAGCACAGTTATCAAAACTGAGTAAATGCGAAAAAAGCAATTGTTCAGCTATTTGAAAATAATTTTTCACTCGAATGCTTAAAGCTCATTAACTAAATAAACTTACATTACATTGAATTCATTAACATAGTTGAGTGCATAGATAACATAATTTCAAATTAATGAGTTTGAGTGGACGCAAAATATAGCCGCCTCGCAAGCGAGCGCTTTCATCAATAAATACGTAAAAATTCATTGTAACTAAGTAAAATTCGCAAAGCATTACAACACAGTGTTATCTTGGAATTGGAAAGGATTAGAGAGTAGCGTTCGCTTAGGCGTAGTAGCAAATTAACGGGTTAGTTGGACTAAGCTGGAAACCGAAATAAATTACAATATCTTATATAGGAGGAAACGTGTTCGCAATACTTTTCGTTTGCATTAGAACTCTCTGCATAAATTCGGGCCTGGCTTGCAACTCGGCCCGATTGGTGGGGGAGGGAATGGGTGCAGATAGTGCCGGGAATTGGATGAAAGGGACAAGTATTATTTGAAGCGGCGCTGTGGCAATGTCGGACTCTCGGGCGGCGTATCTCCTCCTCCTGCTCCTCCGCCGCCTCCAACGACGATTTGCTGCAGGGAGTGCTTCTTGGTCACGCTCTTGAATGGAGCACCCAGTTTTCGGGGGCCACGCGGCGAGGCGGAGGTCATTCCAGCGGCCGCCTCCATGGCTGCCGTGGATCCAGCGGAGGCCGACGGCACAATTCCCATTACGGGGCCTGAGTCGATGGAGGCTTGTACCCAACCTGAAAGGATGCACATTCATTTAATTAATGCTCAAATAACAAAATCACTATCTTTTTTCTACTAGTTTATAATCTTTGCTTTCATCAAGACTAAAGCTTATAGCTTGATTTATAGGCACCGTATTGTAATAAGAATTATAATCGTCAATTAATCTATAACCCAGTGGACCAAAACTATGCGAATGATATGGTAAACGACACTTATAAGGACACTTAACGGACAAAACATCCGAAGCTGGATTCTTATTGTTTAGTTTATAGCAGCATATGTTTTGCTTAGTATAACTCGAGAGAGATATTTTAGCACAGGGCTTGATTGTTATGCGACCCTTTATAAATAAATCTAAATAGTAAAGGCTCGAAACTAAGTCCGTGTTCGACAATAATACAAGTTTTAAAAGGTTGTTGGTTTTCAATAAGCTCAAAGGTTTCCTAAATTCAAAAGATTTGCTCACCTTTGACGGAGGCGCGATTGTGATCGAGCAAAGCTGAGGCTAGAGGCGCTGCCGAACTGCTGGCATTCGATTCCCGAAGAGTGCTGAGCGTGGACAGCGGCATTGGATTGTAGATGCGGCTGGCGAAGTCCTCGAAGGTTGTGCTTTCCTTGTACCGTGATGATACGCTATCCAGCGACCGATTGCGCTCCTCGTAGCTGCAAGGAAAGAAAACTCATTAGTACCCAATGAAACAATGAAAATGATTTAAGTACAACTCACAACTGTTGGTAGAGCGGCAGGGCGGCTCTTTTCGTTCGACTGGCATTGATGGCGGTGGCCCGGATCAGGGTGGCCAGGCAGGCACCACTCACCACGCTCTCGTTGGCCAGCGGTCCGAACCACGGAACCTCCGGCTTCCGGTTGACAGTCACCCGGAACAGGCCATTTCGCAGGGGGTAAACCACGATCAGAACATCGCAAAACTCGGTGGGCAAAATGTCGCGTCTGTAATCGCGATGGTGTTCGCTCCACACGATGTGCACCTCGTCGTTGCCCAGATGGCGCGTCTTTAGCAGCATGGCCTCCGAGGAGTCCGACGGCATTCTGGTGGCCACATGGTAGACCACCTCCAGGAAGGGCGTAGCATAATAGGGAGCTGTGGCTCCGCATCCTTGACGGGGTAGTCCGCCCAGGAAGCCGTTGTGCGTCTCCAGATCGATCTCCCAGCCCAAGGCGGACACGAACATCTCGTAGGTACTGCTGCCGCTCGTATTCCTTAGAATGCTGCCCTTGTCTTCCTGCCCGGCGGCCACATAAATCACGGCCATCTTGTGGGTTTCCCGGCATTTCTGCAGGTCTACGTTTCGAAGCTCCCTCATGAGTTTCTCGCTCCTCTGAAGCAAATGCGTCCTGGACCGTCGCTCCCAGCCGGCTAGTCCCAAATGCGAGAAGAGCAGCCGGCAATACTGGAACGGCATCTCGGTGCGGGTGGGCAGCGAATCAAAGGATGCTGTGGCGGAATGGAGTGACCTCTGATCCTGTTGCTGCAGCGAGGAACTGGAGCTGGCATGTCGCAACGCCGGCGAAGGAGCCTGCGCCGAGTGAGTCACGAACTCCTGCTCGAGCAGGCGTTGATTAAGTATCACCGAAATGGCCTGCGCCTCCTGATTGCCGCTCAGAGGACTGCTGCTCGGAGCATTCAGCTGGCTCACAGTGGGTGCAACGCACTCTGGGCTGGTATGCCCTATGTAGGCCAGCATATCGTCCAGCTGATCCAGATCCGGGGCCATGTCCTTGGCCAGTGGCAGCACACCAGCCGGACGGTGTCGCAAGGTGTGACGCGGTGCCTGCAACTCGTGTGCCACCATGGAGCACACCATGGAATCCAGCGGCTGGTTGTGATGTATCTTTGGTGTGGTTTTTGGAGTGGCCTCCTCCGCCTTCCGCGGTTCCGAATACAAGATGGAGGCATCCCAGCAGGCCTTGCCGTTGAGATCCCGCATTAGGACCCTAACTTGCTTCTCCGCTGTCACCAGGCCGGCTGTGATTCCTCCACCAGGAAGTTTCAGCGTGGGCAGCTCTATGAAACTGGCCACCAGACCGGAGTTGAGCATGAAGAGCTGCATATTCTGGGCATTCACCACAGAAGGAAGTTCCACAGAGTCGCGTCTCGTCTCCACCTGACCTCCGTAGGCAGCACTACCGATATCATCCTGCTCCTCCACCATGGAACTCAGGCGAGATGCCCCAATTCCCATGGGAAAGTGACCGATGTGGGTGACCAGATGCATGGACACCGCCTTGGCACACAACTTGATGGCTGTGATGCACTTTTGGATGGTCTCGGACGTCTGGTAGGTTGCTTCCGGAAGCCGTCCATCGCCTTGAAGATCGTCGTGTGGAATGTGCATATCGAAATCATCGTCGGCCGTCAGTTTCACCCTCTCATGACGCGGAGCTCCAGAGGCAACTTGAAGGAGCACCCTCAGCACTTGGAGCACCAGCGTATCACCTTGTTCGTTGAAGGGTGCCAGCATTATGGGGGCAGGAATGGACATGCAGAATTCACCCAGGCACAACATCAGCGAAGTGAGCACCACCTTGTCCGAATCCCTGGGCTTGGACACATTCTGAATTTCCAAGGCCTTGCAGATGGCTATTATGATGAGCTGCGGAACCCTTTCAATCGCTGCCAGTTGGCGTCCACGCTCGGCACACAGTTTTAACGAATCCACAGCCACCATGGCGATGGTGTGATGTTTGAACTGCAGCGCCTGGAGCAACACCTGGAGCACCTCCTTGATGCGCGGATTGTAGACCTGCGTCTCCTTGGGATGGACGTCCTTGTGATGCGGCACCGCCTGCTGAAAGAGGTTGCTCCGGCCGGAAGTCGAGGAAACCGACAATGGTTGCGAAAGGCGCATGAGCAGCCACTGGCCCAGTTGGGAAAGGGCAATGCATCGCGCCTTGGCCGAAGGCTCCCGCCTGGCGCATCTCAGCACAATGTTCAGTATGTGATCCTGCAGATCCGGGCACTCCATGAGCTCGAACTTTTGTGGCGAGGGCTGCAGAACGGGGCGTGGCAGCAGCGAGGATGGATAGCAGAGCAGGGAGCCGAGGAGAGCGGCCACCTCGGCCCTTGGTGTGCTCCTCGAAACCTCCAGGGAAGTCAGCAATATAGCACTGGCATGCACCAAATCCAGCAGCAGCAAAGTGTGTCCCGGCAGAAGCAAACTCAGCAACCTGGGTCCCTCCAAGTGCTTTAGAATTGCATAAATCAAATCACGATCCTCGCCGGTCAGCAGCTGATGCAGAGCATGATAAAACAAGGCCAACTGCTGCATGCCGACAGCTCCCTGAATCGCAAGCGAGCAGAGCAATTGCAGGGCCCAGAGTTTGCCCTTCTTGAAGGAACGATCCAACGAGAGAGAGCCATAGCACCAGGGCGCCACAATTCCAATCGGTGGCACCAAAGTCGGCAGTGGGGGAGTGCTCTGATTATCCGTGGATATGCCTTGGTTCTGCTTGATCTTAATCAGGTTTTGCGTCATCTCCAGCAGATGCATGAAGACCTGGGCGTGCAGATCCGCTTTGGGGATGCGGTTAACATCGCCCAAAGCACCCAGCATGCGCTTCCACATAATGGAGGTGGAGTCGGGATGCCAACCCTCCGCGGAGCCTCCTAGGATGATGCACCGTCGTCCGGATACGCTGCCCGAGTTGCTGCCACTCCCGTAGCTGCCAGAATTTGCATCATCCAAGCTGGCATCGATCTGCAGTTGGGCATCCTTGATGGATCCACCTTCGATGCCACTGCTGGCGGTGGGTGAAGGACTCCTGGAACCTGCTCCGCTCTCGTTGTCACCCTCCTGGTAGCTGTCCGTCTCCTCCGCCTCACCCTTCCTCGCCAGCGAATCGAGGGACATGGCTCGCCTCAGGTCCTGTGGATTGCAACGATTCTCGCCCAGCTGCGGCTGTTGCAGCGCCTTGGGTTTGGGAGTGGCCGCCCGGCGGCGTCGTATCCTCGAGCTTCTGGCCGCCGAGGCCAAGCTTCCTTCGCTGTAGCTCCTACTCAGCATGGGCGTCAGCGGCACTGGTCGCGATCCCTGGCCAGTGCCTCCTTGCGATTGTGTGTGCTGGTGGTGGGGCCTTGGATGGTTGGGAAGTTGCACCTGCGACGAGGTCTCCTCCGAGCGGCTGCTACTCGATTCGGCCAGAGATTCGCGCTGTCTGCTTTGGCTAATGGCTGCAGATGCAGCATTGCCTCCATTGGCCGTGCTGCCCGATCCCGATCCCTGCCAGACGCTGCCAATGCGACGACGCTTCTCCGCCCGACTCTCCGCCACTCGATCCAGGGGCAGATCGAGCAAGCTTATGCCATAGGTGTAACGCGAAAAGACACGCGTCAGTGTTTGAATCGTCTTGTTCCACTCCACGATGAGCTCCTCGCGGTGCGTTAGGGACTGCAGGACATTTAGGAACTTCTCCCACAGCTGCACATTCACGGGCACTTTCGTGTGTGCTCGTATCCAAGTGACAATAAGGGTCTGGAATATAGCCGACCCCAGGATTCCACCCAAGGTGGCACTCTTCGAGGCACCGCTCGGCATTGAATGGTGATTTTGATGCAACACAACTGAGGTGACCTGCAGCAGCACCACCAGCAGTTGCTCCCAGGTGCGCGAGTCCATCTCCGTGTTCATCACCATGGTGCGGTACACATTCAGAACCTTTTTGCAGATCTCCGTCTGCTCCTCCAGCGGCGTGGAGCGATAAGTTCGCGAACGGGTGGGGAAGCAGATGTTCAGGTTGGCCGTGTTCACCAGGAACACGTTGGCCGCATTGGTAACAAACACCTGCCAAGAAAGTTTGCATTAGAATGGCGAGTTCTGTAGGGACATCGTAGATACTCTACCTGCAGTACATTTTGCCTGCCAGCCCTCACGGCCAGTTGATCCTTGGAGCCGGCGATGGCACCAACGTATGAGGGCGTGCGCAGCCGCTGACTCCGGGGTGTTCCACCCGCTGTCGAGACAGGCGGCGGATCGTCATTTGGTTCCAGCAGAAAAGGTGGAGGCGTCTCTCCCGTCATCCAATCCCGGTACACAGCGATGGCCGTGCGAATTGCTTCTATCTGCGGCTTGGATGTAAAGTTCAGCAGAAAGGCCTGGCGATATACCTCGTGGACAAAGTTGATGTTTTCGCGACTGACATAGAACACATCCCGCACGATAAGACCCTGCTGGTAGCCCTGCAGACGCACATGGTCCACGTCCTCGATGTGCAGCGTACAGTCCAAGCGATGGCTCAACAAACGCTCGTGCGTGAACCGCGACACCCAGTTGATCAGGACCACCACGCACGAGGCCATCACCTCCTCCTTCTTGTTAATCGATCGCATGACGGGCAGATCCAGGCGCGGATTGTAGATGGAGCAGCTCACATCGAAGCTGGGCGAGAAGACGGGCAGAAAGACGTCCATGAAGCGCTGCAGCAGGAAGGCAAACGCCCGGTGATCCTTTTGGGCGCGATTATCCCGCCATCGCAAACAGGCAGCCGTTTGCACCATGCTGTTTAGAAGAACCTCGAGACCATCGCGGGGATCCGGTGGCGCTGACTTCTCGCTGGATGACGGTGGCAGCAGGGCCACTACCTCCGAACTCTGCACGGGATGCGAGAATGCGTTGTCGTGGAAAACGGAGGCCATGCCACCATCGGCCTTCATGTTTGGATGCGTGAGAAAGTCCGAGGCACTGAATTCCGTATCCGGACCAACGACACCCTTCTGAGGCACAATGAGGCCAGGGATGAGGTCCGCGTACATGGCATGCACATAGCCTGGGGCATTCTCGCCCAGCGTCTGGTACCAAAGCAGGAAATATCTAAAGAAATATTTAAAAATGTAATTAATAAATTTAGATCAGATGTTAGAGGTTAACTCACCTGACGCCTTCTCGTCTCAGCTTGGGGGAGTTGCCCAGGTGCAGCAGCTTGGCCATGATGCGACTCAGGGAGTGACATTGCCACCGGCGAGCCAACAACTCCGGCAGTAGGCACAGAATCTTGTCCAGCAGCCATAGTGAACCGTCCAACTCCTCGCGATGCGCCTTGTGAACTGAATAATGAATAAGAAACACATAAGTAAAATACAAAACAAGTCCAATGAGTTTCCTGCTTTCTCTGGGGATGCATTCCAAAAGTCTGGACAAGCACAAGATGCAGGGAGACAGAGATGTGCATGTGGTGCATTTTGGAGAGATTCAGAAATTTTCAGCGAAAGAAGAAAGACCATGAGACGTGGACACATGAGGTATGGTAAACTGAGTTTAAAAGCAGAGTCGAAGGAGGAGGCGGATGCAATTCAATGGTCAATCAAAAATGTCTATAAGAAACCACATAAACTTACCAATGTGAAACGGAAGTTCTGCCAGTTAGGGGTTTTACAAAAATAGAGAGAGAAAAGGGGGTAAAATAGAAATAGATGAGGAGTTTAATTTAGAATATCTCGTTTGTTTTTATATGACTATATCTACAAAAACGGGACAAAGCATAAAGTTTAACGAAACCCAAAAAAGGCATACGGTTTAATCTCGTCACTGTTGACTTTGTTTAATTGGTGGATCGTAAATGGTCTCAAAAGATACAAGCAAATTAACAAAAAACTTAAATGGGTCAAGGAATAAATTGCTTTTTTACGCGTTATCGACTTTTGTTTACTCTTTTTTGAAATCTTTTGCAGCTTAAAATAATAAAAAGAATGTGCAGCATTTGGGTAATTATTATTATAAAACTTTTATAAGTGGAAAGAAGAACTTTAAAAATACCTATGCATAGGTATATGAAACCCGGCTTTGGTCTCACAATAATTATCCACATCTCGGTTAATCTCAGAGTAAGTAAATTTACCTTTTTGTTTTAAATTAGCCTCGGCTTGAATAAAGGTGTCGTACAGTATAAAATACACATGGCTGTAGTTGGTCTCGAACAATGATTTCGACTCTTCTAGCTCCACATTATCTGAAAAAATACAATAAAAAATGGGTCAACAATAAAGATAACGAATTGCATATTGGGTAAATATTATCTATCAATATTAACCCTTGTTTGTACTGCAACGAAAACGAATAGTAATAAAAAATTAAACAGGTTATAATGGTAATTGGCTATTCCTAATTTTTGCTTTGACATATAATTAGCTAGAACAGCTTTGATTACATTGAAATGTCACAGATAAGAGACTAATTAAACTGAAATATTACCAAATCGAAGGAAAATAGGGGTTTTACCTAGTTCTCTCCGTGCATTAGCGATAAGAAAATGGCGCCAGGGGGCAACAACCAATGTAGTGACGCAACATTAATTTGAGCACCTGTGCATATCACTATTGATAACACATTGATACCACTGAAAATCCAATGCAGGCAGACGATATTTTCCAACATTTCCATATTGAAAACCACGCATGACGATAGCGAATAACAACAAGAAAACTTGGGACCAGCGAGCTATTAAAAGTCGAGTTAGGAAAAAAAACACGTTATGATGGGTGCTCAGCGATTTGTGATGAATCAGAGGACCTGTTGGGTGAACGCGTGAGGTGGCGAGGGGTTCACTGCCATTGCCGGCTTGCTGTCATCAGCAAAACACACTGCAAAACAGAAGAAAGCTAAACAAAGAGATAAAACAGAGTAAGAAACCTCTGAAACCGGTTTCAGTAGAAGGCCAAAAAGCAGAGCGAAGATGTCTACCATTGCACAGCAAACAAAGCCACATCATTTTCCATTTCGTTTTAAAATATTCCAAGATATTAGGAACACATTTCATTTGGAATATATTTAGATATAAATAAATGATATTAGAGTAACAACAAAAGTTAAAATTTTACATTATTAATTTTTTTAGATTTGTTTCGTATGGCTTTTAAAAGTGTTTGGCTTATATAAATTACCATTTTGTATTGAAAGTTTACAACTTTTTTCGGTGTGCTTTTGCTGAATGAACTGGTTAAAAAGCAACAATTGGGAACGCAGCCATTGGGTAGAATGTCTAATGCGTGTAATTTGCCAAGGGACAATAGCAACCAAGCTGCAACAACAATATGAAATCACAACAATAGTGCACCGGAGGGTGCCAGTCAGGTGTATTTGTAATTTTTTGTATTGGAGGGCACCTGTTGGAAATCGTTCGCCGAGGTGACACGAAAAGAAAGCCACTGAAAAGAGGTGGCGAAGGTGGAATAAAAAGGGGCGGAGGTGGGAGATTGCTTATATCGGCGGCTCGTACTCGAAACCCGTACTTGCGGTACATTGTTGCTCAATACAGGCCAAATTCTCTAAAGCAAACGATCTAACCGAAACTTTAAATTTAGAACCGTATAAATCACTTGCTTTTTTTTTGTATAACAATGCAATAATAAATACTGTATCTATTGGCCAATAGTTAAGATATCAAATGGCTAGTCAATAGCAAACAGAAATTTTATTGTGCCACTACAGAAATGCAAATATAAATAAAAATACATTTTTAATCAGTTTCATTTTAATTCAAAAACGACTTTAGGAACTGAGTCATTCAAATGTTATTTAGCAAAGTTCAGTCATGCATAAACAAAAGTTGGGAAAAATATATAAGTTTGAATCTTTAAAAAGTTAGACTTATAGAAGCCTGACTGTGACTCTACTTGTTCTCTTCTTTATCATTTAACGTGTTTCACACATTTTCGCTTGCCACATAGCGGAGCATGTGTAGATGTTTTTCTGTAATCTTTTTTCCGTTTTTGCATAAATTAATGTTTTTACTGGGAAGACTGGGAGGTTTTTGTGGGGTATATCGTGTATGTGGAGGTTCTTTTGCGCCCAACAGGAAATGGCCAACGCTGTGGCCCCACATTTTGTTGTTGTTTTGCGGACTGTGGGCAGAACGTCATTGAGAGCGGGCCACCGTGGAACAAAAATGGTGCGAACGACGCCCACCTGGCCAAAAAAAAAAAAAACATGTATAAAAAGCAGCCAACCAGTTTCATTGTTATTGCTATGAATGCAAATAAATTATGAAATAATTAACAGCCAGCAGAACCGCCAACGCGGGACCTTGGTCTCAAGGGGCAAAACCACCGTAAATGGTCAGAAAGTGCGATTTTAAAAACCATTTAGTTTGGAAGAAAGAGGAATTTTGAAAATATTTGTTTATTAAGAAGGAAAATTGTGCTTAACGAAAGCGGTTGCAAAGAGCTTTTATTTGATTTTTGAGGGAGTGAATTTACAAAAAATTAAAGAGTGTTCGGTAACAAAAATGGAAGATTTGTAGATGTAATTCCAACCCTAAACCTAAGATAAACTTGTAAACTTGTATACATGTTACTTTGGGCATTAAATGCCTTAAGATAAAGCCAAATGGTGTCCTATTAACTCACCCAATATCATGCGTAGGTGTCGCAATCGTGAGGCGGAATCCTTTTTGCAGTCCTGCAACTTGGCCGTGGATTTTTTCACGTCGGCATGCGATTTTTTGGTAAACATTTTGCACCTTATGTTTTTTGCTGCGAACACAAACACACATCACTCACACACACACACACACACTTACACTCACGCAGGCACAATTGCAGGCGGTATACGCTTTCTATTCGCTGATTTTTCTCCGATTTTATTTTCTCTGGCTGATATCTGTGCCTGATATTTTCTCTGCCTTTTTCAGCTATTTATTTATACGCGCACGCCAACGAAAATCACTTTTTGTCCAGCGGAGCGCCCCGGAGAAATTATTTAGCAACGCCCGCTCTCGCCCGCTGACGTTGGTTGCCTTCGCCCTCGCCTTCGCCTTCGCGTTTGCCTTTGCCTTTGCCTGGGTTCTCTGGCTTTTCGCTGCTAAAATTTTACAATTTCGCGACTTTATTCCATTGCAAATTATTCACGGGCACACTCGGCGACGCGATTCTGCACTTGTAATCCAACGGCGAGCGATTTACAGCCCATTTTACCAGCTTTCAGCGTTAATGTTTTCTTTTCATTTGCGTCGCGTCTCCAGTAAGCCAGTTCCGTTCATGCTCCGTTCACCGACTGTGGTTCCGGTTCACGCTAGTGCTGGCTGGTTCACTTCCATTGACTGGAACAGGTTCGCGATGACCGATGAACCGTTTATGCGTCAGCAATTCGTAAGACTATGAAAATTAAATGGTAGGTACCAACTATTTTGTAATGTTAACTTAATATAATTAGGTTAATAGATTTTCTTCAATTTAATTTTTTTTTAATTTAACAAGCATGAATGTAAATACAAAATACAGCCATGGTCAATTGTTTATTAAATTAAGATTTAATTGTTGATGTAAAAGCTTATCATATCCGAAAATTGAATGCATTAAGATTTAATTGTTGATGTAAAAGCTTATCATATCCGAAAATTGAATGCAGTACTTTAATCATTTTAATTTTTAAAACATATATTACGAGTCAAATCATGTTTTAGTCGGTAGAAAACACAACGCTGGATTTTTTTTCTAAATTTGTGTTTTAAAATTAAAAAATGTTTTCACTTGTTTTGATAATGAAATATAGCAGTCATTGGCTTTATAAATTGGTTTAAGTTCAGCTGTGAAACACTTGTATATTTGCATAGCCTTAAACCCCTGTATAGTAACTGCTCAAAGTTTTATGTTTTGTAGTATTGTCTCTCCCCAACATCGGACTACACATTTTTTAATCAGTATGTCTATTATATAACTATTTTTACGTGTTATATTATCCTATTACTAAGCAAAATTACGGCACTCTGAATTTAGACAAGTAATTTTCGATAATTATCCATTAAACAGGCCGACATTAAGACATTTATTATTTAATCAGTGATAAGAAGACTCACTAAATGAATGGAATTTTGAACAAAGTAACTGGCAAAGCTCGGATACATCCCCAATTCAGTGCCATGCGATTCCTAAAAAGGCAAACACGTCGCTTTCGCTTCGCCTGGCAGAGCCTTCTACCCTGCCGATACCGACATTTGAAGCTACATACTCAAGTTGTTATGCTATGCGTCTACGTCAGCGTTTTCCTAAATATTCTATACGGAGTCTATCTCGGACGGTTTTCCTTAAGACGCAAAAAGTTCTTATTCTCCAAAGTGGTAACAATTTATTCCATTTTTGTGGCCACAATTTTCGGTACATACTACATTTGGAATATTTATAAAGAACTCTACGCGGGTCAGATAAGCAGTCGTCACACTATTGGAATTTATTGCTACATGAACGTCTTCGTTTGCCTATTTAACTATGTGACACAATGGGTGCTCACAGGTCAGATAATACGATTTCAAAATAAAATTCCGCTTTTTAAGGTCCTTAACTCGCTGGACATGTCGGTGAAGATAGTCTGGAAAGCAGTTACATTAACTATACTAAAAATCTTTATATGTCCACTAATTGGGTACATAACCCTTATACTATATCAAAAGAGGACCCAACCGGATTCACAGTGGACAAGTTTGACGACAGTAAAGACAATGCTGCCGCTGATTGTATCAAATCAGATAAATAACTGCTTCTTTGGAAGCCTTGTAATCGCAAATGCGATAGTGGCTGCAATTAATCAAACGGTTCACGTAATAGTTAAGGAGGCTAATAGGATGCAGTCACCTGTCCAGATAAACCTAAATAAACCCTATTACCGGATGCGTCGTTTCTGCGAGCTGGCCGACAGATTAGACGAATTGGCTGAGAAATACTGTCTCACTGCAGGTTGCTCAAAGGTGAGTTTTAATTTATACATGTTTAATATGAATGTTTCATGTTTTATTCCTTTTAAAATAATACAAATGGGCACTTTAAAAATCAAACGATTTATATGTTTTAATTTTGGAAGAGATACTTTCGATTTACGGACTGCTCCATGGTCCTTTCGATGCTAATGAACCTAATTGGCATAACTATGGGAGTCTACAATCAGTATCTAGCCATTGCGGATTACTATATCAACGAGGAACCTTTCGATCTGTTTTTGGCAATAGTTCTATTGATATTTCTGGCTGTTCCCTTTTTGGAACTCGTAATGGTGGCTCGGATTAGCAATCAAACTCTGCTGGAGGTGAGAAAAATACATGTGTACGCGTCAAGCTTCCAGTTCTGTATATATATTTTACAAAATTTGAGTAATAGCTAGAGTTCTGGTGTTTACAGACTAGAAAAACTGGTGATCTGCTGCAGCTTCTTGACCTCCAGCACTCTGACGTTCGTTTCAATCAAGTGGTATATGCTTTTTGGCTACGCGTTGCTATTATCGACTACAAACTGATGCCTTTGGGTCTCCTGGAAATAAGTACTTCGCTGGTCAATAAGGTTTTCTCGGCTGTAACTGGCTATCTCTTGATTCTCATTCAAAGTGACTTGACTTTACGGTTTTCACTCAAATAGAAATAAAAACTTTAGTTTAAAAATTCTTTTAGATTAAGATTACCACCAAATACATATAAAAAATTATAAGAAACAAGACAAACAGCAATGTGCAATGTACATAAAAATAGGCGTACGTATATCTTGGACATAGATTTTCAGGCGTTTTATTTCGATGCTGTAAGGCACCAACTTAACATTTGGTGGTTTGTAAACTAACACTTACACTAACTAATCTCTTAAATGGCATAAAAGTCCTAAAGATAATGTCTAACCGATTGCTGTACCTCTATTTTTCGTCCATAGGTGGCGCTGAGATTTTTACATTTTTTTTAAGTAAGGCGCGCTTTCTTAGTAACAGCTCTGTTATAAGAAGGGTTAGCGGAGACTTACTCCACTGTTAGCAAAGACTTTATCCGCAAATAGCAAGTACTTACTCCTCAACTAACGATGTGTTCGTGATGGACCACAGCAATGACACCGATTCTTATGTTTTCCCATCTCTAGCAGATATTGAAAGTGAAAACTGTCGACGGAATAAATTTAATTAGCTAAACTTTTTCAAAAAACAACATATTTATCAGTCACCAAGAGTAAACTAAACACTAAAATGTGCGGGGGTTTTACCTGCTCGAAAAACGCGCTAATTGCGCTCAACATTTTGTATGTGGTAAGCCAAAAAAAAACAACATAATAAACAACAACAGTTGTACGGAAAAAAACGCAAAAAGCAGAAACAACAAACACGGAAGAGGAACAATGAATAAACACCAACAACAAAAGCAATGAGATTTGAGTAATTAAATAACTGATTATTTCTGGCTATAAATATGTATTGATTTTCCTTTTTAACGGCGGCAGGTGCAATTCGCATGTGTTTGTGTTTGTGTGTGTGTATATGCCTTGCGTATTTGTTGTTGCTGCTGCTCTCGAGACGAGAATCCTTGAGTCCTTTTTCACTTGCCTCCTTTTCTTTTCCATCTGTGTGCGTTTGTGTGTGACCCCCAGATGATTGGGTTCCTGCTGATTGGAGTGGGCGTGTACGCCCGTGCCGCCTCCATCGTGACCAACCTGCCGATTGTGGGCGGGATCCTCGCTTGCGGCGTCATCCTCATCTGCATATCCATGCTGGGACTGGCAGGAGCCGTCAAGCACCACCAAGTGATGCTCTTCTTCGTATCCTTTTTGCCACAAAACCCACAATTTAACAAACACACAAAGGACGCAGCCATGCAGCCAGGTGGCTACAGCTGCGGTCAGTTCGTTAGGTTAAACTACACATTCAGTAAACCTCCAACAGAATTCCAAATTCAAAGTATATCGTAGCAGGAGTGGTAGGATAGGCATGGTGTCTCAAATATAGTTGTTTTGAGCAACTAGACCCAATAGCCTTATAACTTTCGGCAAGAAAGAATAACAATCTTTCTTTGAGCTAAAATGATATTAATAATCATTTTTAAAGGTTTGGTCCTTAACAAACACTTTTAGACCAGAAAATTTGAAAGTCTAAGTTATTAGTTTCATAGACTGACTGACTAGTATTTAATTTTGACAGAAATTGTTTTGTCTGGTTTAACTAGCCAATGAATTTGGTATACTCACTCCCATCGAATTTCGTGTCCTAACTACTTATTTAGTAGCCTTAAAGTCAACATAAGATACTCAATCAGCTAAAATTGATTGTTATTGCTATTATTTCGTCGGATTTATGTATGTTCTGTTACAAACCAATTCTAGGACAGCTAATGCTTTGTCCACAATTGTAGGCAGCTACGAAGGTCGTGGCATGTGGAACAATTAGCGTACTTAGACAAGTGCCCACTTCCGCAGAGAAAGTGGGCCCGTAATGACTGAAATTATGAGTGGGCCTCTGTAGCTGCTGCCTCCTTTGTTGTGTTTCCATGACGTCAGCTGGAGGGTATCGCTACGTGACCCCCAGTGGAAATGTGGAAAGGCAAATATAATGTTTTTAAATCACTGCCAAAGTTAAGCCTTAACCTTTAGACTCTCTGTACTGCAGTACATGATCATTCTGTTCATGCTGTTCCTGATCCAGTTCTCCATTGCCAGTTCCTGTTTGGCCGTCAATTCCGAGCAACAGCAGCAGTTCGCCGAACAAGGATGGATGACGGTGCCCACGGAGTTGCGCAAACACGTGCAGGACAGTCTGAAATGCTGCGGATTCAATGCCACTGGACCGAGCACAAGTTCCGTTGTGCCCCCACCAGATGAACCCTCGTGTGAGCGGATCAATCTGCAGTGCTGTGCCCACTCCTCAGAGGCGGACTGTCGTTGCGAACCATGCGGCCCCCTGCTGGAGGACAAGATCGACTACGCCTTCAAGCTGTGCGGCGGTCTGGGCATTTTCTTCAGCTTCACTGAGGTAAGGTCCACTTTACAAATAATCTTCAGGTGAAAGTAAACTAATTTCTAATCGAAATAATCCCCACATGCTGCATTTAGTTCGTTGGCGTCTGGCTAACAGTACGCTATCGCAATCAGAAGGATCCGCGTGGCTTGCCCAGCGCCTTTCTCTAAATTGAACGCTAGTCGAGAACAAGAAAAACATTTCCCAGATACAGAAACATCCAAAATTATTTAGTGCATGTATCTCTGCTCTGTCTCTGCTAAATGTTTGGTGTTGCGATTGAAGATTTCATGAGCTCTTGGGGCCCACATACCATATATACAAGCATCCTTTATATTTATACCATCTACAGATACATTATACATATATATTTAATCACATTGCCGCAGAACTATGTACGTAATGTGTTAGTTCGTAATTGATATACAACTTTAGACATATATACATATTATAGAGAGATATATATAGGATGAGAGAGCTACGTGTTTAACCCATATATACGGACCCGAAAGCAAGCAATCAGCAAAGAAACATATTTCCATTTACTCTCAACACACTTTCTTTAACACTTCCCAAACGAAAATTAAACTCACTTTTGACTGCCTTCTCTTTGACTAAGCATAAACTCAACAAGTGGCCAAGGGTGAGACATTTTTAGACGTTATTCCACCTTAAATTTGTTACTTATTTTCAGTTATTTTCAAATCTTATATGTGCATTGATTAATTGTGTGACTTTACAACAGGTCTTGGCCGTTTTCCTGGCGCGTCGCTACCGCAATCAGCACGATCCCTGTTATCTTCCTGCCCGCGCCGTTTTTCCGCACGATTACTTATATTGAATGGGCTGAACACTGCATCCTGGAAGTGAAACATTTTAGTCAAAGGGACGAAGGCTGAATTTTTATTTTTACAACGCGTTTCCTAGCAAAAATCGAATCCAAACTCGAACAAGAGATTAATCTCCGGAGAAGGAGAAAATGGAGGAGGAGTTTTAAATGTGCTCAACACTGCTGCTATTTAAGAACAAATTCATTTTACCACAATATTTACTTTAATTGCACAAAGTTAATTAATTTTTAAAAACTCCAATTGAGATTATGTTTAGCTGTAATATTGTAATTTAAGTTTGAAACACCTTAGTTAGCTCTTAATGCCTTCTTTTGCAACTCGCAACAATCATAAACGACTCGACGTGACTTGACTTTAAACTACTGTACCACTACGAGACAAACATTTCAACAACCTGATCTTAATGTAGGACTTACAACAAAGTCAACAATTGTAACTAGCAACGTAATAAGTATACATCAACCTATATACAAACGTAATTGCATTATTGCCCAGAAGGCGTATAAACGATACTCTAAATGTTAGTTGTGTGTTAAACTTTAAACTAGCGAAAAAAAATGGACACAAAATAACAAAAAAAAAAGAGTAACCCTCTAAGCATACATGTCAACAATTATACAAGTCTATATTGATAAACCTACACATAAGAAAACTGCTTCTTCGAAATTTTCACTACTTTTCCGCACTTGCTCGACTTTCTCTGCAGCTTTTCCTTCTCGACTTTTACCCTCGCAACAAGCCACCAAGAACAAAAACAAACACATCTCTTGCCCGACGCACCTCTTCCTCTTTGCACACATCACACTGAAATGGAAATAGTTTTCCCCGCAGTTTCCTTTCCAGTTTCTTTTCGAGCGACAAATAAACCATTAGATAATATTCTCTGTATTCTGTGCTGTGATTGAAGTAAATATGATCTTTAAAAAACAAAAGCAAAACCCAAATCGAGTTTTGAGTTTCATTTCCCGCATTTCCCCAAACCCAATTAATGAGCGGCGCACCCTCGTGGGAAATGCGGTTTGGGATATCATTAGCGAAGAGTCTCGGCTTACCACAGCCATATAAGTAAGGACTAGGGATATTAAAGGAATGGATTTTATAAAAATTTAGGGAATAATTTATAAAGATATTTTGTCAGTAATTAAAATCCCATCCCATCCCAAATACATTTTAGATTTTTACTTTGTGTGCTTCGTTTAAGTAAAAATAATTTTGTTAAATTTCAATTTATTCATCACTATATTACTCATTACTTTAAATATTTTAGACAGTATTATACACTTTTTAAACACTGGAATATTTTCTAACATATATTTGTTTTTTGGTTTTTTTTTTTTCAAGCTTTTAATGCTAATAACACCTTAAATAAAGTTTAAAATAAAAGAAATTAGCTTATTTACTTTGCAGAGAAGGAATAAAAACAAAGAATCATTAGACTTGTTTAATTATGATAAAAAACCAAAATTTGTTTTCAAAAATAAAAAAAACATTTATTTTGTAATATTATTTGCCTGTAGAGTTTACAATGTTTAAAACAAAAATTATATTTTGAACGTTTTGTGACCACAGTGCTCAACGTGTCCAAACGCCATAATCATAATAAGCGCCGGAGAAGATTAACGCTCGCACCAAGTTTGACGCCTGCCTTGCGAAGGAGAAAGGACCACCCACATTGAGTGGGGTGGCCCCAAAACGCGGCAACAACAGCCCCAAACGGCTCTAAGAAAAAATCTCACTCAAAACTGCTACGAATTGGGCCAAGTTCAACGCACTGCGATGCAGAAAATAATGTTCTCCGAAAGAGAGGTTGGAAAGTGGGGCGGCGAGAGAGTCGCTCGGTTACGTAACGAAGACTCAGCAAAGTGGGTGGGTGGCCGGGCGCACTGTTTCCGCTTTTGCGTGGTGGAATGTGGGCGTGGTGGTATCCTGGATGCCGGGTTCGTCTCAGCCACAACTTCCCCCCAAAAACATACATCCTTGTCCCGCTTTTCAGTAAACCTTGTTGACACCCGCAGTGAAAATGGTCAACAACAGAGCCGCCTACTTCGCATTTTCCTGACTGCAAAGTGAAATGGAAAATTCCTCCAAAGTGGTGTGTCAACGAGTCGGGGAAAACATCAGTATTTATTTGTCAAATAGATCAACGAAATGAGCGCCTTTGTAGGTCCTTTTAAGAAATATCCTGCAGGGGTCATTGAATAAATGACAATGCACACTAGAAATAAAGTATTGATTCAACAAATAAATGTTCTAGTCTGCGTGCCAAAAAAGGTTAAGCTGTAAACAAAACAATTTTCCTTCGAAGGTTATTTAGTAAATTTTCAAAAATAAATTTGTTTAAATGTCCCTTTAAGGAAAAAACTCATATCAATTTTGTGTATTAAGGCTTGAGTTAATTTCTTATGATTGTATTAATTTAAATGTTATTGACCCTATTCTTTTTTTGTAGTGTGCATGCCATTGACACGCGTCTGATATTAAAATTCCTAATGGTTGTGCCCGGCCTTTTTCCCTAAATCCACCATATGCTGGGTTCTCAACTGTTGATCCAACGTTGCGTATGAGCAATGTCTTGTCAATTGCGTGCCCCATGAGACATGAAGACGTTTGGACTCCCGGTATAAAAAAAATGATTATTATTATTATGCAGCGAAATGGAAATTTCAGGCCATGGCTATGAAGATTTCTTTCTTGTCACTTGAGTAAGTGAGCGTTTTGCACAGCCTTCGAACCGGTGCCTCCTCTCGCTTGTCGAAAATTCATCAAAGCGCACAATTTAGTCACCGTTTTACCGCTCTTCCTCTTCGCTGGGGAGGGCCTGTTCCGCCCAACGTAATTCGTAATTCGAATTTACTGCCCATGTCGGTGTCGTGTCATGTTGGACTTATTATCTCCGTCTGGGCCGCAGTCAAGCATGGCGATGTTTGGGTCATGAATGTGTATATGCCTGTATGTTAAAGCTTAGAAATTAACTAATAGAGGAGAGGGGAAAATTTATTTGAATGCCAATGTCAAGTTAAGGTCAAACGCTCTATTGATTAGAATTAATTAAAACAACCGAACACTTGTGATCTCATCTGAAGGGAAAATTTACACAAATTCATTGGATTGTTTACAGTTCTTTCTTCTTCTTTAGCTACCATAAATTCCTTGGCATTCCAATAATAATGTTTCTGAAAAGAAAAACAAAAAGTATTGTAGGTAAACATGTGCAAATAATGTATTTTTGGGTATGTATAATTATCTAATTGTTTTGGATATAAGCAGGCAGACATATTTTCATTGTAAATAATAAATCAGCCCATCAATCGAAGTCTGTGTTTTGACACATCTTAAAATACTTTACTTAACCTTCAATTTGGGGAATTTATTTTTATTTATTCAAGTCTTCCACCTGAAGCATCATTTCCATTGCGAAAAATCCCTTACATTTTTGCTCAATAAAATCCTCAATCCGCTTGAATGGGAATCGCTTTACGACCCTCATAAAACGGAATAAAATGAATGAACAAATACCGACTTGGTATGCTCACCTTACATTGCCGTTATGTGTGGCAAACATGGCGTATGCGCAACGTCCATCCCCTCAACACTCAGATTGCGTATACGTCAGCGTGGCCAACTTTGTTTTACCTTGTTATTCAATTTTTTAGCACCTTTAAGGTTTTTAAGTGCACAATTAAATAATAATTAAATTCAGCTTTAATTCTCGTCTCATGTCCTGTGGACCCAGTAATTAAGAAATGGTGAAAACACGGCGCGTGTAGAATGGTCTGCGCAGCAGCTGTTGCATAGCACGCCGTAACCCAGCCCAAACATGTACAGTGTAGACCCCACCTCAACTCTGTACTTCTCCGATTTGAGTGAGATTTTCGAGGAAATTGTAAACAGTTTTTATTGGTTTTGCTTGCTTAGCTGTGGCTATATAATTAAATAACCCCTGGACAGTGGCAACATTTCGCCGAGCGCAACTCGAGTGAGTCTGTCGAGTGAAAAGCGAGAGAGTGAGCGAATTTCGGCCGAGTAGAGTGGAAGCATTTCGCTTCGTGGGACTCCCCTTCAGTCAGTTGGTTTTGAAACCTCGCGCAGTTCTGGTCGTCGCTCTCCTGTCCGCCTGCCTGGGTTTTTGTGCGTGCTGCCATCGAAATATAGTGCGGAGAAAGAGAAGGAACACTTTCCTCTTTGCTTCACGTGCCCGCAGATAAACAAAGCAAGTCTGAAATCCAAACACCCGAGTATATTGCGACAAAGCAACGGAGAATAATAGTGGTTCGATTTTGCTTTTGCGGTGCATATCAGGCAAATCGCAGCGAGAAGCCAACTCAAACAACACCCAGAGCTCTTTACGTAAGTCAACGGAAGAAAAACCACCATGATTAAATATATATCCCAACTATGTTGCCTGCAACGAAAAACTTTCTCTGTTAATGCTGTCTGTGTAGAAAATCAATAGCTCAATTCTTAGTGTTATCCTGTCACAGGATACACACACACACACTCCAGCGCATGTGAATGTTGCACTGTCTTGAAACATCTGCTTGCAAGACAGGATTCTTGAAATAATTAAAAAAGTTCCCGGGAGAATAGGGAACCAAATAATTGTGTTAACCCTCTCTCCACGCCTATCTACCCCTATTTCATTCACTGTACCTACCCCCTATTCCAACTACACCAGCTGGATATTTACATTCGTTAGCTTGTTGTTCATTGGAACGGTTCAGCAAACGCTTTCAAGGCTACATCCACTTTAATAGGTCAACAAGCTGAGCAGACACTAAAATGGATTGTCTTGGTTGTCTATGGAGGGATGATTAATGAAGTCGGGGACAAACTTTGGACTATAAATTAGTTATCATAAAATTGTAAAGTCTTAGAAAAGGCCAAATCATTATCTTTTAGTAATTCTCTTGACAGAGTTGTAAAGTGTACCTATAATTTTTGTATTTTTTAAAAGGTATTTATTTAAAATAGTCCTTCAAACTTTTATCGAGTTATTAAGAATGCTTAAATTGCTTCCCCTAAAAATACTAAGCCACACAAAATATCTTTACAATATCATGTTAATAACTGTTTTCCTAAGATTCTGCCAATAAATCTCTTTAAATAATCCACTGATTATGTCGATCCCCTTAAGACCCGACAAGTATGCAACAGTTCCGTCTGCTTTTCTTAATCCTAATTTCAAATTCAAGGCATAGCCAGCAGCCAAGTAAACATTGCTGGAAAACAAGTATAAACAAAGTGGACCAATTGAGGACTCCGCAGTCGACCTACCCTCCAGCGCTTTTGAGTTGTTGCCTGGTCAAGCTAATTGTGGCTGGCCTTGAAATTTTGCCCAGCAAAACGAAAAACACCCAACACCGAAAGATACTTTGCAGCAAAGTGGGGCATAACTTTCAGCGTGAGGCGCTCTTTGTTGGCCCAACGTGTCCAATCTTTGGGGAGCAAAATAATGCGAAAAGTGCCAACGGATAAGCCTCGAAAAATGAAAAGCTTAAACATTTGGCTGGTCCAGTCGGGTCTGCAAACATTTCGAGGACTCCAAACAGACCCACGAGTTCCGGCACACAGGAACCCTCGCATTGATGTTGCTTGGCACGTGACGTTTCCCGGACGTTTTTTAATTAAAAGCTGTCAAAGTGCGCTGTGCGCGCTTTTCACTTTTTCTTTGTAAACATACAAAATGGCATTAAACAAAATTGGATGTCCAATGCTAAAATTGAATTGAAAAATTAGATATGAGAACTTTAATTTGATAATATACTTTTGTATACCTTTTAAAATACATTAAAACCGTTCAAAACCAAGTTAAACTCACAGGTTTTATATACCTATTTTTTTTTACTGTGTAGCGACTTACCACAACCTTTTTCTCTTTTTTCCCAGCCCACGGCAAGGCTTGTTTAGGCCTTCGAATGTGGCACGTATTTAA